GCTGAAGGACATCTCCAGGAAAGCTGATTAGCGGTGTCAGTGTCTCGGAAACTAGTGGCAGATGGAGTGTTCCGACAGCGTGTTGAGGAACGTGTGGACACACAAGCGTGTGTATGTGCGTGTTGGGGCAAAGAGGGGTGCAGGGGAGCTGTTTCCCAAGACGTATTGGAGCTTCTCCTTCTGCCTGATATCTGTGTTGTTTCTCAAGCACCAGGGGAAGGTGTGAAGCATGAGTGTGAGGAAGAGTGTGTTTTAACGAAGAACAGGGCTAAGAAGGGCTGGAACGAGGTACCATGTGGAATTGCGTGGTTTCAGGTGGGAGCAGGGTTTAGTCTCGAATCTGACCCAGAGTTTTTATTCGCATTACTAGAAGGAAAGCTAATTTTTGATGATGACCCTTTTTTCCAAGAGGAAGTCACAGTTTCAGAACAGTTTGAAGGTGTCTTAAGAGCGCTTTGGTGCAGTAGCAGTGTCAGAGTGGTTATAGGAATACATTTAATTATATGCTACGTTTAATTATAATCTTCACTTACAACCATAATTTGTGCACCTTAATTACCACATTTGCTGTTGGTTTGTGCTCTCGTTGGGCTAGTGATGGAAGAGATCTCGCTCTCCAGAACCATGTGATGATGATGACGATGATGAAAGTGACATCAGCTGATGGGCAGCTCAGGTTGTTAGTCATTAACAGTCACCCTGACCGGGATCACTGCACGCAAGGCTGAGGCTGCTGGTTGCTCCTTCCCTTGACGCTCGTGCTGGGTCATGGGGCAGGGCTCTGTGGGAGAGCTTTCGCTATTAGTGCTGCCCAAGGTTTGCTGGGTAGGAGCGATGGCCGTGTTCGCCAACCTTAGATCCATCTCGCCCCGTGTAACCATCTGTGTGAGCCGAGAGGTGGGATTCACAGTGTTCGTGACGTTACATGCTTTGTGGATACAGGTCCCCTGCTTCCCTCCCATGCCCCTTCCTGACGTAAGCACCGCTTGAGGGAGCTGTGGATGCCTCTTGGATCTCCAAAACAGGCTTCTTAAGACGAGTCTTGGTAAATTAACAATAGTCCTTGATATGCCTCTTTGCTTTTTAAGTCTGCTATTCCTTCTAGAAGCGAATCGTAGAGAATCTACTGTTGGAAGTGTCCTCGGCCTTGTCCTGTAACGCAAGCGCTGATGACTGTAGGGCCAGGCAGAGAGCTGGGAGAGAGGGACAGCGAGCAGGGCTTGCCTTTAACTTCATTTCTGCGGGGCTTTAAAAGCTGGTGGCAAGAAGCGTTTTGTAATTTTTGTGTTGAATAGGGAGCTAATACTGAGTGGAAAGCTTTAAAATCTCCAGAAAAAAATCTTAGGCCAGCATCTACATACAGTGTCTCCTCTTAGAGGAGAGTGGAATTAATGGGAGTACTTACCAGTAAACCCAAAAGTCCTACGTTGTTGAAGGCAGCTCTCCAAGTACTCTTAATGGGACTTCAGCTCCCGCTCTTGAAACCTGTGTCAACATGAACGCTCTTACTGCAACATTTACAGCTGTATGGATGTTTGTTTGCAGAGAAAATAAAACTGCAGAAATAAGTTTTGAAAAAGCTTTTTAGCAAAGTGAAAGCATAATTCAACTTCTTCTCCCTTGGAGAAGACACCTGTCATCCGGCAGTTTGTGTTTCCCTACGCTGCATGCCCCGGAAGCCTCGGTCACGCTTGCGGTGTGACTTGGCTCTGGGCAGTGCTGTTTTGTCCCACGTAACCTTTTTGACAGGCTCCAAACTTCCTCGTGACAGTGCCACGGTTCGAGCCGTCTCACCTTTTCTCCAAATACCTTCGTGCCGTGCTGCAGAGGGTCAGGTTTGGCACCTTGGGATTAAACAGCTCCCGAGTTTGTTTAATATGTAAAATGCTTGTGATTGCTTCGCCCTTCCTGGACAGCAGGATGCACGATAGTGGCGTAGCGCTCACCTGCGGGTCTATTTATAGACTCCGGGCTTTCCCTAATCACTAGATCCCAGCTTTTGGCAAGTCCGGCCTTCCCGGGCGTCATGCGGCGATGGGGGCTGGCGCGCGCCGGGCTGCAGGCAGCTGCCCGTTAACATTCCTGCACCAAAGGCAGCGCCGCTTCCAGCCGGAGCCCACGTGGCCCTGCTCTTCCCTTACTAACGAGCTGGGAAGACTGGAAAACTGCTCCACAGGGGTTGTGCAACCGGCAAGGAGCTTTGCCAAAGGCAGAGCTGAGGATGTCTGTAATTACAGGTAGATGCCGGTCTGTCCATCAGCATAAGAGCTCCCTCAAGTAGAGGCTGGAGGAAGGAACAAACTGACATACAGAATGCAGAGTCGAAAGGGATGAAAGAAAACTCGAAAAGCTAATAGCCAGGAACATGAAAACAAATTCCCTTTCCATTATGTTGAAAGCAGAAAGGTTTAATCTGATCTCTAAACAGCAGCGGAGCAGTTAAGGCTAATAACACAGAGAAGCCAGAGGACTTCCTGGCATCACTGCTTGCTACAGATGAGGAGGATTAGAATTTAACAACAAACAAAGATTGTAAACCCTAACGGACTCGGTGGCAAATGTTTCTCCTTGAACCTTTTAAAAGAAGAGACTGCAGTGTTTGGGCTTCAGGTAGGATTGTCACATGTCAGATTTTGTCACATTTTGAAGGAGTGTGCAATTGCTGCTTTATGCTTTGGTTTTGTTGTTTGTTTTTTTTTTTTCCCCAAGCTTAAGATGAGCACTCTAAGAAGTTTATAATCTGAGATTGCAATGCTGGTAAAATTGTTCCTCCTCAGGCATTGAACAGTTAAACAAGCCAGGACACTTTATGATCAATTAGAAGGATAACTTGGCTGTCTGTCCTTGTGCTCCCCATCTCCAGAACGAGTTCTGATGCCCCAGGCTGTGACTGATTTTGCTGAGTGCAAAATTTCTGCTTTGTATCTCTGTCTTGCCAGTGTAGCTCACTGTTGTGCAAATCACTTCAGTGATAAAGAAGTGGCATGAAATATTTTATTTGAAGAGACTTAGAGCAGTGCAAGACGTTCTTACCCGGGCTGCTGGTCTTTAGCTGTGAGCGAAGGCCCTGCACACAGGAAGAGTAATTTGCTTTAATCGTTCTATTGTTGCATAGCTCTTTATCCCCACCATCATGCAAGCGAATCTGATTGTTTCAGGAGCGCATTAAGCAATGCGGTTCGTGTCGTGGGACCTGTTAGCGGTTGTATTTCCAAAGCACTGAGGGATACTGAGGGACATTGAGGAACTGGACCCACTGGCGAGGGCAGCAGCCTCGGTATCGCTGCGTTGTTGGCTGGGGTTGCACTAAGTGGCTGTCAGCCAAGCGAGGAGGAAGAAGCAGCAGCGATCCCATGCTGCAGGTCCGTGAGGTGGGCATTGGTTTCTTTCCCACCTGGGTTTCCTCTGCAGGGGATGCTGTGGGCCCTGGTGAGAAGCAGCGTGGCAAAATGAACCTTTGGGTGAGAAATGTCATCTCCAGTTCTCGAGGAAGTTTGTCCTGAAGTCTGACCTAAAAGCTATTTCCACGCGGACGAGTTTGGTCAGGGCCCGTGATACAGACCCCAAATTCTGTGGAACGCCGGTGCCAAGTCGGGTGAGGAGGAGGAGGCGGCGGCTGTTGTCCTTGGAGATGTTCCAGAGTCCGGACAGGAGGTGACAGCAGCTCCAAAGCTGCCAGGAAGGAGCAGGGTCCCCATGAACTGTCCTGTGATTATCGCGCACACAACGTTTTTTTGGGAGGAAGCTTTCTTCAGCTGGGCTAGAGATTATTGATGGAATGCACTTATGCAGCCATTAAAAAGTAAAAATAACACCTGCAAGTAGGGACACTGTAAAATTTAAAGCAATGTCAGAAAGGGCAGCTGTTCTGTAGCAAATCATAAATCCTTCGTCAAACCCTTCCAGCAAGGAGTGTTGTGCTTCTTTCCAGCTTCTGTTGAGGTGGCAGTAGCCCTCAATTGTGAGATGCTATATAATGCTGCAGACCCTGGGACAAAAGGTTACGTGTTCTCTTGGCAGAGCTCACCCTTGCGTTATTTTTTTCAAGCTCGTTCAAGTTGTCTTTGTAATAGGTCGTTGTTAATCTCAGGGGTGAGCACGTTAATGAACAGGATAACCTGGGGTCCAAAATCGATGTATGCAGGTTACCCAGGGCTCGCA